CACCAGGTGGTATTGGGAAAACATTTCTCATTAATTTTATACTGGCAAAATTATGAGTTAAGAAACACATTGCCTGGCTGTTACATCATCCAGAATTGCAGTTACATTGCTAACGAGAGGAAGAATAGCTCATTCAGAATTTAAATTGCCATTAAATTTGAGAAATATCAAAACACCAACAGGTAATATTTCTAAAATTTTTCCAAAGCAAAAATTCTACAAGAGTGCAAGTTAACTGTGTAGGATGAATGCACAATGTCTCACAAAGCTGCGTTCGAAGCCCTTGATGATACTTTACAAGACCTGGGACATAACAATAGAAGAATGGGAGGCATTACATTGGTACTTGCTGGAGATTTTTTGAGACACTATCCATTGTTCCACGGAGGACACAAGGAATGCATGCTGCTTAAACTCATCATATATCTGAAATGAAATTCTGAGACTTCATCTTAGAACTAATATGAGAGTTCATATTAATGTAGATACTACAGCTCAAGAATTTGCTGACAATTTGCTGAAACTTGGAAATGGATTCTTCACACCAGATAACCAAGATGGATATATATCACTGGAATGTATTGGAAACATTGTGGAAAGCCACCAAGACCTGTTACTTGCAGTATTTCCCAACTTAAGACGACATTTCACCGATCACAGCTGGCTATGTGTAAGAGCCATTCTTGCAACAAAAAAATACAGTGAGAGCCACTAATAAACAACTTTTAGCACAGTTGCCGGTCAGTGTTCAAATTTACAAGTCAGTTGATACTGTGTGTTTTACAGATGAGGCTGTAAATTATCCAAATTAATTTTTGAATTCTTCGGAACTGCCTGGAGTACCTAGCATATTTTGGAGTTGAAAGCTGGTGCACCTATAATGCTGTTGAGAAATTCGGATCCTCTCAACTCTGCAATGGTACAAGATTATCTGTCAAGAAGCTCATGAAAAATGTTATTGAAGCAACTATTATGACTGGTCATGCAAGAGAAAAAGGATGTGTTCATCCCAAGAATTCTTATTATACCATCTGATGTACAATTTCATTTTAAACAGCTTCAATTTCCCATATCTTTAAGTTTTGCAATGAGTATCAACAAGGCACAAGCAGTCTTTAAAGCTTGTTGGGCTCGCCCTATATAGTCCATGTTTTTCACATGACCAGTTACATGTTGGTTGTTCTAGAGTAGAAAAAAAAAGGATAATCTTTACATCTTTGTTCCCAATAGAAAAACAATATTGGGTATCCAGAAGCCCTTCAAGAATAGCTATAAATTAACTCACTGTAACAGTTTATGAAATGCATGCTTAAAATCATCCTATGTCTGAAACAGAGCTCAAAGGCTTTGCTTTATAAGTTAACTGGCTGTGACATGACTGATGACACCTTTTCACAGATTACCTACCTTATATACAGTCAAAAGTCTTTAATCCGGACTCGTCGGGACTTCCAGATTATCGGTTTTTCCGGATTATAGATCATCAATTTAAATCTGGCAAGATGGCATGCAGAAATTATAAAATTAAAAATATGAAACCGTAATTTATGAAATAAAGAGCAATTATGATCTAAACGGTATCAAATTTACAAAGAAAAAGCTTAATATTTATTTGTTTCCCTTATTAAACATTTCTTTCAACACGCGCATGCGTAAAGCATACATTACGGATAGTCGAAATTAGAAAATTGCAACCAGAAAACTATTTGATGTGTATTCGTGATATTTATAATGATGAGGAAGTTGATTTAAATCATATCAAAGACAGAGTACATCAAGATGAAATACTACATTTAGTAAGGAATTATAAGCCGAATAAAATAAAAACATCTGCCCTGAAGATAACGATACTGCTGACGGATCAACTTCCAGTTCATTGCGCGCTGCGACGTTCTTCTGTGGAAAACTTTCTAAGGAAAACTATATGCTAATATATACCTTACACATGGAGAAAATCCTGAAAACGCCCATGCAGCCAGCCTGTTTACCTGCAATCGAACCCAGTTTGGAACTGCCAGCATTCAGTAACATTACTGCTTGGCCGCTGGTGGGCTTACAATTTAGGGCAGGGACTAAGTTATGTATGGTGTATTGGAGACGTATATGATGAATCTTTTAATAAATTGCCAATTTTCAATCTGTTTGCTTTCTTTAATTGCTTCAGTGCTTGCATTTAACTGAAGGATAAGAAAATAAAGGAAAGATAAAAATGTTTCATTGGATCAAAAGGAGAAAATTTAAACAATTTTGTTTTCACTGTTCTTCCAAAAATTCTCCAAAAGATGAGAAATTTACCACAAATTTCCTAGAAAACGCATCCGTTATGTGTTAATACCATGAAAAAAGTGGTTATTTAATCACATTTTTCTGAAAATTGTAGGTATATAAATCTGGCATTTAAACCTTACGAGGTGCAAGGTCTAAAATCTGAAAGAAAAATTATCCCTATGGAATTTGTAAGAGCATAAAGCCAGAGGATTTCTGAAATACATTATTCAGAAAACAGAAACGTAAACTGAATTTTCAAGAGAAAACAGATATACATTTAAATATTCTGAAAAAATTTCATGGGAAAAAAACTCTTATCGTGAATAAATACAAAAGAAGACAAATGAAATTAATTTTTTAATAATTACAGTAGCATTTTAAGATTTCCTAAAAAGTGTTTTGGAAACTGTGTTTTATAGCATTTATTATCTTGTTTATTTTCTCAGAATTAAAATAGAAAGTAATACCACTTTAAAATATGGCAGGATAAAATAAAAATATTTTCTTTTAATGTTATTTCTTAAATATAATTTTTTGTATTATCATTATTTTTATGATATTTATCAATGTTGTTATGTTTGTAAGAAAAATATTCAAAATTTCACCAATTTCCAAATAAAATTGTTTGTATACAAATTGATCTTGAAATCGACAAAATGCTGGTAAGACCCAAATTTAGCACCACATAATTTCAGAAGAATTCAAACGTTAACCCATCAAATACATATTTGTCAATATATTCCTCCTATATTTCCTCATTCCCATATTTGTCACTATATATAAAAAATATTCCTCCAACATGTTAATTCACACTTTTGCAAAAAAAAAGAAAAAAAACCCGAATGATGAGTAAAATTAGGGACCTTTATCTGGTTTTGGCTGAAATTAAGGAACCAAAAATTGTCTTCATAAAGCCTAAGGACTTTTAAATGCTTTAAGGACCATAAAGCTTCATATTTATAAAACTAAAAATTTTTAATCAATTTTTGGCAAGAAAATAAAAGCTATTTACTAAATTAAGAAAACAGTAAATTTTAGATCAGTTCGTATGTTTGGTAGGCATGCTTTGCACACCTCCTTAAGGCCATCCTTAAGAATAATAGGCCCCAGGCTTCTGCAATGCTTCGAGAGTCTTACCTACACTAACTTTCTGTCAAAAATAACAATAAATTTGCCAAAATATAGGCATCTGTACTTGCTATTCTCCAGGAAGTACATGTGGATCTAATACTTCATATTCAATGTTTACAATATGCGATAAAGTTTACTACTTTTTGGCTCGGTAACACTTTAGCATTAAGTACTAAAAGTACATATGCATCTAATAATAATATAGCTTTCAAAAATTCATCAAAAGATCACAAATATCAAATTAAACATAAAATTAGACTTTTGTAATAGAAGGGGTGTTTAACAACAATACTGGCAAAGATAACATAAAGCACAAATGCATTTATTTGAAATAAGGGATACTTTACAAACTCAGCATAAAAGAATACTAGGAACTGTTTGATTACATAGAACATCCAAAGAAGAAAACATCCAAATATTCAACACTTTTAATTCGTCTAAATAATGAATTTACACATGAATGCTATGAAATAATTAAAGTTAAATATGAAAGTGAAATATGTCAACAGATGCCAGAAAATTGCAAAATTTAAAGATTTTAAATCCTAACTTTTGTTTTTGAAATCCACACAGAAAAAACATCAACTACCTTTATACTAAATAAATATTTAAATATTTCATTTAAAGTATTTTATATTTATGTTAAGTATTTTATATTTATGACCATTCATATTAATTTTTCCCACATTATATATTAAACACTTACACAATTTATGAATACCTTAAGAAGTTTATCAGCATACATTTTGAAATGTTAAGTGAAACTTCTATAAACGTTGATACAAATTTATATATTACCAAAGTGCTACACTCCACATCCTGTATTCAATCAGCTTTCAGACGTACTACTAGCATAGTGTTAGGTAAGCTGGCTGTCATAGCCTTTTGCCTAAGTTTAATCTTGGCGAAGGCATAAATATTTTTGAGTCTATAGCGTCTTCGCATAGGAAATTTAAAGGCTAATCTTTGGAATATGCTAACAGGTAGTTTGGCGACATTTTGGTAAGGTGATAAAGGTTACTAGCTAGGACTTTAGCAGTGTACATAGATAAAGTCAAGAGTGTGTGCAATGCCATTCTTGTGCAATTCTGGGATTTTTTTTAAGTGAAAATAGGTCGACGTGTACATGGATACCGTGTATGTGCAATTCTTAAAAACGCAGCAAGCAGTTTGCGATTCTGCACTTTCTCCCAATTTCGCACCTAATCTTCGTCATGATTAAGCACTTTTGTTCCATAAAAGTTCTAGCATAAGCGTAATTCGGCTAGCAGATTGTTGAAAAAAAATGTTAAGTAAAAAAAAAAAAAAAAACATGCCTTTACTTCGTGAAAACAAAATAGTGTCCAAACAAAAATGCGCAGGTTGCTGTAGCACGCTTGGTCGCCAAATTTTCGCCAAGTTACCATAATCCAAAGATTAACCAATTTAAAATATTGTTGAGCCAAAAGCCTCTCAAAAGGTTGGTAAAAAAGAAATGTGTCATAATATCTAAAAACACATTTATCAAATTTTGTGTAAGCAACAAACTTTTGCAAATATACACAATTAAGAGAAACTATTATTGCTATAAAAATAAAATTTAAAAAAAAAGTTTTACTTACCAATAACAACAACATCTTTAAGAACATTATTTTCCATATGTAATTAAACTACACTAAACTTCAGAAAACAAAGCAATTTATTCAGCACAAGTACTAAGTCACCTAGAAAAGCAAGAAAAAATTATGAATGGATTTACACAAATACATTAGCTTATAGCATGATGAAATAATAAATTATCCAATAACTTAAAAATTAATATATCTTCCATTTTCTTTTTAAAGTGAAACAAAATAACTTAAATATTTAACAAATTACATTAAAACCAAAAACTATTAAAAATGAACTTAAATATATAAATAAAGCTAGACTAGTTTAAGAAACTTTATTATGGAATGCATCTCTGTAAAATGGAGAAAATTCATAAAATCACTTCTAGTAAGTTTCGTAATAATATCGCACACATATTGGAACAAGGACAAAATTCCTTTCCACTCATTTAAGATTAATTTTAAGTACAACTCTTTATGACCTTTCAGAACCAAACGCATTCCAGTAAAAAAAGCAAATATGTGAAGTTTTCTTTCATGTAGATATCAAATATGAAAAACAATTTTTGACAGGTTAAAGCAAAAGTTTATTCTTAAATTTAAAAACTAAGATACTACAAATCAAAAATATTTTAACTTTAAAAAACAGAAAATTTACTAAAAATATTAAATGTAATTCATAAATTAATAGGGACTAAATATAACATTTTTTAAAATTTAATTATAAGTTTCATGTTTTTGTTATTGTTGCTGATCCTAAGTGGTTAGCCATTAAAGCTAGACCAGATCCACGAGTCCAAGAACCATCATTAAATCCAAAACAAAGGTAGGTCTTTTCAATAGGTCATCCTTTACAAGCCCCAAACAGGTGAGATGTTCAGGAGTTTAAATGATCAGTATTACATTTCCTACAGATGGATAGATCTAATTTCCCTAGACAAATTTAAGATATTTTAGGTGTCTACTTGGGAGCCTTGCAAAAGTAGTCTGCTGAACACGACTACCCCTAATTTTGTTTTTAATTTTCTTGGAACAAAAAACATTCTAACAAAAAGATAAATATGAAGCATTTTTGATACATTTTTGTTAACCGGGACAACTCAGTTACCATACATAAATATTAATACAAAATCTAACTAGATAGTATAACTATATACAAGGTTTCATGGAAAAAAATTAACTTGCAATAACAGCATGTATCATATAATATATATAATGTTTAATGTGCACAATGACAAAGGTGTGTGCAAAATTATCTGCAGTGCAAAATTATCTGCAGTACATACTAAACATCCCAGAGCTATCCATAACACGATATGAACAGGCTACCACATTTGGCGACTGGTGTCTTGTTAACAGAAAAGTACTATATTTTTTCAGTCAAGTGGCAAATATGGAAAGAATTTTTGGTAATGATGAAGTGTGAGACCTACTGCTTGTAGTTTGTTATTTATTTCTTAGAGAATGGAATTATTTGCTATGCTGAAAAAAATTGCCCGTGCTTGGTTTTTTACCGATTTATATCCACATTCTTGGTTCTTCAGTTTATCAGCCAATTTATTGTTGTTTGCATCTTTTTATAGCTATAAATTTGTATTTCATTTTTTAACAATACTTGCTCATTACAATGCTTCATTTTTCACTCCTTTATTATTTACACAGCAGGAAGGAATGTCTAACATTTAATTTTATTAGTCCAAAGGGGCTTGGTCCCTGAAGAACTATTGTTTCAATTGCGATTTTGCATTGAAAACTTTAAAAGGCTGTATCACTTTTCAAATCGTGGCCACCAAATAATATCGCCTTGTATTATATTTGAAGAAATTAAATAATGAAGAATCTGCATAAATGTGTGTATGTTTCTCGCATTATCATAAAACATTGATACCTAGAGCCATCCATTTTTTGAATAACATAATCCTACTGCGAATATGGACATCTGAAAGCTAAAATTTGGAATTTGTTTTATTATCAATTTCATATTTTGTAAAACTTTAATGAATTTTTTATTAACAAACTCAACAATTTAAAAGCGAGCAATGGCCACACTCTATGGGGGAAGGAGAAAAAACTTTTTTATCAACAGCATGCGGAACTGTGTATCAGAAATTTTAAAGATATGCTCATTTTAAAATTATTTTGTCACATTGCTGTTGAACTGAATTTATGGTTTAAGTGCAAGGAACATGATATTTTAATAAATAAAGGTAACACACAAAACATTAAAAAAAAACACCCTTTTGGATGTAATTTAAAATCTGAAACCTTTCAGAATTTTATTCGGATTATTTTTATTTATTTCTGTTTCCAAATTTCTCAATCTCCCATATTACATAAGCTGTACACTAAGAAACAAGAATGGTAATGGTTGTATAAATATCATACACTGTCCTCCCATCTTGATAGGACAATGCATAAGGAACAGTTTCCTATATCATAAGCAATTTTTATCTTTTATTTATTTGTTTCATTTCTGCATCTGAAAATTAATCCAATTTACTGCATTTTGGAAATTTATTATGATAATGAACTGCATTTATAGCTTCCAGGATATTAAAATCTGAAAAATATTACTTATTCTAATTTTTACACTTTTTTTTCAAGTTTATATATATACAGTAGAGTCTTGTAAACTTGACTTAACGTGAACTGAATAGACATACTATTTTTTGGAGGGAGGGGGGGGGAATCCAACATGGGACATATTTTTGAAATTACTTAAAAGTCTTAACAGTTTATTGAAAGATTAAACTATTTATTCAGTTGTAATTTTCACTAGACATGACTTTTTCAGAAATGGTTTGTTTTAATTACATCATAAAATTCACAAGAAGAAAGTTCTGAATTAATTTTAACATTCAGCAGATGTTTAACAGTAGATACTGAAAGTCTAACCCTTTCTGCAAGCCAGATGTTCCCCATAATTGAAGAAACTCTCAATTGGAGCAGATGTCCCAGGCTATGACATCACAAACTCAACCATTTTAGAAATATTGCAACATAAAATAACAATCTTTTGAAACACCTTAAAAATTGCTTTCTACTTCTGTTCAACAGTATCTGGCAATTTTTCAGAACCACAACCTACCCTTTGGTTCTGAATTACTTGGCACAACAATGTACGTTCATCAAATAGGTCATGAATGTTTACAGAATCATTCATAATTTTATTAACAATGTGTGCACTCTTTTCTAAATCTGATCAGGCAATTTCAGTTCATACATGTATCCACTGAAACTTACTAACTTTAACAAAGACGGTTCTCCACTGCTTTTGGATACTAGAATTATAAAAATTGTCCATGCTTGAGAAGAATTTGTGGTCCTGAATATCATCATTTTCTTTTAAAGTGCATGGTAATTCTTTGCCAGATGATGGTATAAATTTGAAAATTTTTCTTTCTTGTAGTTAAAAAATCAATTTGACATCTGAAATGCTTCTGCCGTTCAGTTTCAGAACTACATTATTAAATCATACAAAAAATTTCAGAAACAGTTCACTTTCTAGAATTTAAAAAAAAAATTGAAATAACTTTGGGCATACAAGATAAGAAGTATGATTTTAGACACTCAAAAATAGAAAGAATTTTTTCTACTGCAGGTAACAAACTAAGGAACCTTGTACTGCTATGAGATAATACATTTTGTAAACTGTTTCCACAAATTCACAGAGGTCTAAGTTTTGTTACTCTTACTGTATATAGGTGAAGATATTTGTAAACTTTTATAACAAAAACTTACGTCTAGGGGCAGAGAATCACATGCTGTTTACACTGAATTCTGTACAATGTAGGCTGGACAACTAATTCCTAAAATAGATCTATCTAAATCACTTTGAACTTTTATTGAACAATCTAAATCACTTTGAACTTTTATTGAACACATTTTCATTTCCTTTTCTGTTCACACTACCAAAATTACTCTTAGCATTATCAGCAGTATAGCACACCAATATTTCTTCAAGTTTGTATTTTTTCACATACTGCAAAAGATACCAAGTCACAATTGCAGCAGTTTCACCTGACTCTTCATTGAAATTTAAAAGTTTATCTTAAATTCCCTTCTCAAGACTGAAATATCTTGTAACAATCAGAGCAAGTTTTACTTCACTTCTGTTTGAGCTATCCATCTTTACTGTTACATAATTAACGTTTTCCAAAGAACTTAACATATTACCAAATATAAATGATGAAATAATGTCAACAATAACTGCCTCAGTTTTGTATCTAGCAGACAAAAAAAAAAAAAAAAAAAAAAAAAAAAAAAAAAAAAAAACAATGTAACTTTTAACCAGTTTAGAAGCACAGTGTGACATTTTAAAACTGAATTTGTGCCTAGCTGTGTGGTAAAAAAATTTAACTTCTTTAGCAGCACACTATATAACACTATTACTAACTATTACTGTTATTCCCATCTCTAGCTTTAAAAAAAATCGCTAATGTTTGCTGAAGCAGTAGCATTAATGTTTAGCTGTTTTCACATAGTCTTCGATATTATACTATCATTTATGTGCAAGAGAGAATTCTCCAGCTCATAATATGCAATAAACACATTCATTGTTACTGCCATTACACAATTTCAAAATTAAACAGAGATAAAATAATCAAAAAAGATGTAGACGAGTTATTTCACACCTGAAAACAACATCAACACCTTGCCCCTATTGTGTTGCCAAATGATTTGGTAAAATGTTGCTGGGAGATGGGTGCCATCTTTTGTCAAAACTAATGTCAGCAGTTGCTCCAAGGCCAGCTGAGATTTACACAGCCGTAAGAGAATGTTTAAAAATGTTAAACTGAATATATGTCTAAAATTTTAAAAAATCCTCACGAGTAACAAAATTCTTAAATTACGGACAGCACCAAAAAACCAGGTCTATCCTAGCTAATCCTAGACTTAAAGTAAGCATAGGACTGAGTTACCAAAAGTGTCAAGTTTTATGGAAAGAGGAATTAGTTAATCACAACTCCTGATACTTTGTTCAAACACACACTTTCACCTTTGTTAGTCTCTTATCTTTGTTACTCTTTTAGTTTGTTAGTTATCTTTGTTAGTCAAAGACCATGTTGATTTGTTTCCTTTTCTTTTTGTTTGAGATTTTCAGTCACAGAGAA